TACCGGATTCAAAGCATAAGGATGTTTTTAAATACATGTATATAATGAATATATCCATTGATTTTTGTAATCTGTCTTCTATTTCTGTAAGTGTTGTATTTCCAGTTGGTGATTATACATTGTTATATTTGTTATGATGTACATAAACTTTTGTGACTAAAGTGGTTCTGTGTGGGAATTTATGTTGAAAATCAGCTTTCTGTACGAGAGTGGCTGATATATTGTACAACAAATTTAATAAATCGAATCTATAAATTTAAGGGATTGTCTTCTAAATATTCTTCCATCACAAGAAGTAGTTTTTGTCTAATTTAAGAGTCTTTTTTATTTAACTGAATGTTGTAAAATATGCATTGTTTAATTCAAATATAAAATAAAAATTAATGTTTTATTGATAATTTTGATATTACAGGTTAATAAAAAAATATTCTCACAAGCTGACAAATGACATAATTCAAACTGGCAGTCTTAATACCACTCATGTATTATACTATAATACAAACTGTTCGAAAGATTAGAAATTTAGGTTAGGTATCTTCTTGCATGAATGGAATTTTTGACGAGTCAAGCTTACGACAATAACTAGGACCGAACAAGGAAGTGTTTAAATTATACTTGTAATTGAAAGTGTTTTGAATCAATGCTCGAATGCTTTATGCACAAAAACTGTCAAGTATTTATTCAATAGAATCAATGCATAAGGGGTAAAAGCTGTAAAATGATTGCGACTGCTTACCTGTCTGGTTTAGCATTTTCACATCATATTTACTTGACCCTCAAACTTTTCCAAAAGTCTTTACAGTGCACAAGCACAGAAGTGGTTTTAATCAAATTTAGATACTTAAAACCTCCAAGGAACTTTTAGAAAATTTAAAATCACAATGTTTTACCGAAATCAGTAGCAGCAAAATGTACGAAATTTTCACCATTTTATAAAACAATTCCCCACGATAAACTAAACACCAGGATTTTTGACATTATAGACAACAGCTTCTTCAATACAAATTGAGTACCAGGATTTTTGACATTATAGACAACAGCTTCTTCAATACAAATTGAGTACTCCGAGGTTGATATTAAAAAGATGCTTGAGTTTCTCATTGACATATCTTAGTACTTTTAGAGACCAGACCCCGGAATCATGAAACTTCTTAAGCTTGAATCAAAATCTTTCAGTTATATCAAAATGTTTATAGACGTCAAGCAGACAAAAATTAAATTTTTTTTCAATATTGCTTCACACAAGTGTTGCTATCTTCAAATTTTGAGATTCATTCGATAATTAATAGACATTTCACAGCTGATTGAAAATTTGATTGAAGTCTAAGTCTGTTTCATGATCCTGGGGTCTGGTCTTTAAACAATCTGTGAAGAATTCTCATAGGTACAGATTGTGCCCCGCTATAAGCAGACCTGTTTTTGTATTCTTATGGAGCAGAAACTATTCAACATGAAAAGAAGTTTCTACTTTTGGCCTCCAATTCAATATTTAGATATATCGACGACAAGTTATCAAACATTATTTTCATTCCTAGGTTGATTCCATCCATTCCTATATCGAACTCGAAATAAAAACACTACACAGCTTCATAAATCTGATTCATATTTACATTTTTTTTAATAGAGAAAGAGATTGCGGACAAACTAACAGCTAAAGTTTGTGATAAACATGATTAATTGAATTTTTTTTTATCGTAAACTTTCCTTATTTACATGTATGTAGTAATATTCCATTATCATCTGTATTTGGAGTTCATGTCGTCCAGTTGATTCGATATGCAACAGTATTATCCTGGGATCATGAAAAGGAGCATACGGCGAGTGTAACCAGTTGACATGGGACGCTTACTTCTCCATAGTATCTGATACCACCTCAGTTTCTAGAGTGTTTTGGCTGCACTTACAATTTGTATTGTTTAAACTCACTTAGCATGACCACTGTTTGTTATCTTCACATTTCATCAATATAAATGGTCTAATGAAGAAGAAAAAATTGAAAATAAATATTAAAAATAAGTGTAGCAACCAGGAAATTCTCGATCTATTTTAGGTCCCATATAGAACTAAAATATTGTGCCCACACCTGATATATCTCGTGCAGGTGAACATATGATTTCTGAAGTATAGATCTAGAGAGCTAGGCACAGTCAAATATTGAGATAATAAATTGTATTATTATTGGGCGTTTTTTACATTAGCGTATGACATGAAAATAAAGGATAAAAATATATTTGTATCATTTATTAGTATTAAGTAATTTTTCATCGGTGGTTACATGTACTACATAGCTTGCTAAAATCATTAGAGAGGTATTGAATCAGGATATATCTATCAATGACGTGTGTTATGAGCAAATATTTGCTCCTTTTTTAGATAGAATTTACACATGTTATTCCTTAAAACTGAACTGAGTGGTAACTCGAGCATTTAAATTGTGTGCATGATATATTACTCCTCTGAGTGATTTTTTGTTTAATTTTGCTTGTCTTACTCCAGTAAAACACCGTTCTCCATTCAAAAATAGTAAATTCATTAAAATTACACAGATATTATACTTTACTTACACAGATTTCATCAAGAACCTTTCAGTGATATATGTAAGTGATACATGTACCATAGCAATATTGAGATTCTATCTTTCTAGCAAAAATAACTAAATATTCATGTACAGTTACTGAAGCAGAGCGTTACAAGCAAAGTTACAAACATGCCAAATATAGTGTCTTCCATTCAAAAACATGTTGATATATGTAGAAAATTGCCTCTAAGCTTCTTCACTCTTGTGGTTGGTAGATATTTCTCACGATAAAATCTTAAGAATCCTGAATTGAATAGTGATCATATAGAGGAAAAGACTAAAAAATGAGAACGAGTATACTTACTGTGAATTACCTGAACAAGTTAGTAAGAAGGTAATAACTCTCAGTTTAGGTCAAGGCATGAAAAGAATATTATTGCCATGAACTGCTTACTCCCCTCATTTTTTCTAGATATGTGAATTTTTTAAACACAAATGATCAATTTATCAAATTTAAAGCATTGTTTCTGTATATTATTCATATCTTGATTAAATGTATGGAAAACACATTCTAAATTTGCAACAAGAGATAAAAGATTAATAAAGATAACTAATATGCCAAATTGTTAACTATTGAACAAATAGACGAGAAAGTACGAGACTTCTTCAAACGTCTGTGGCATAAATTCCTTCATCATTGTCAAAAAGACTGCAAAGGTTAAGAAAATAGCCATACAAGTACTCATTGTCTCTCCTGATCGGGCAGGAATCACGAAGAAAACTACATTTAATGCAGATAAAATCCACACAGGTAGAAGATGTGAACACACTGAAAATAATGCCTTTCTTTTGATGTGAATATTGAGCAACACTTGTTCTTCTCCTTGTCCAATACCAAGGACATCTTCTAAAGATGCTGTACCGCTTGTAACCGTCCATTCTATGTGTTCAGTAAAATATCTCAACAAATCCTCATTTAGTGTTAGTTGTAAACGAAGATTTACAACACCCGGGAATCGATTTAAATACAAAACGGTACATATCTGTTTATCAAAAGGACAGTATTTCAAACTAATTTTGCTTGATGTTGAAATACTATAAGAATATGACATGTCAACTCTGCCCTTAGATGACAGAATTGACGTCGAATCTTCAGAAAAACAATGACGAGAAAACACTTCATTATGAATATAAATTGAACTTGGAAACCACAATTGTTTTGACGGTAGAGTGACGTATGTAATGTCATTGTATTCAGATGCATCCAAATTTAGACGTTTGTCAATCCAGTTCATTATTGTTGCCATTGTCAAAGACAGGACTTGAGTTTTCTCATCCACACTGTTTATAGAGAATATATAGAAACTTAACGTGGTATTTAATATATCACTGCCATGTTTAATCGGTGGAACCAAAGGATCCGAGTGATTTTTTTATGTTCTGGTATAAATCTGATCGGGTGAGGCAATACACGCTTCGAAATATGGAAAAAAAAATAATGGCCATTACAACCAAAGAACATACCTCCATTTTCATTTTGCAATATTAATTTTCCATGCGTAAAGTCAGCCTCCAGTAGTTTATCCGCTGCTTTTTTGGTTGATTGTGGATTTAAATATCGGAACCAAATGAATAATCATTTAGGAATTACTTGAGCTTTGGCTACGAACAGTGGAGTTTGTTACACTGAGGATTTACTCTTTGACACTATGGCAATTTAAACAGTTTCATTTTTGTTTATCGTCAAACATGCCATAAAAACTTGCAAGAATATAAATCAACAGAATTAATGGACGGTGCATTGTCTTGTCGTAGACATTCATTAGTGTTTGCTAAACCTTTTTGAATACAGAAAATGTATTTGACTTATACAATATTAAATGCTCGCAGATTGCGTGCAGCGATTTATGACGTTTACACACCTTGGGTGTTCAATGCTGAAAATCTAAGAAAATTTTATAAACTAGTATACAAAATTTGATTTTATATTGCAAGATAAGAAAATCAATAGGTCTATATATTTAAAGGAATATTATACAATTATGGACTCTTTCTGTGGTGAATATGGTTTGATATTTACCAGAAGCATTTCAGTATTGACAAAGGGTTTACTATATATTCAGGATTTTAATAGATAAGATATTGAAGGCGGTATGACTAACGAACTTAATTGCAGAAAAGTTAGTAATGTCCGGATGACAATTAATATATCTTCAGGTCCATGTTTTCTTAAACCATCATATCCATCGAATTGTTAGGATAATATTCCATCAATAGGCTTGCCTAACCTTTCTTTTGTTCAGATATACAGCTCGCCCCGGCCGTTACAGCCAACGTTATTTGAGGTTTGAGGGGTGTCTTTCCTCGAAACTTCTTTCTTCCCTTAACATGATCATGATTAGTATCCATACCTCTTCACATGGTGAGCAGTTTGAGCTCCATTGCTTAGGAAATAAAACCTTCACAAAATAAATTTGCTTAATTTTTCTATATAACAAATTGTATTAGAGTAAATTACATGCTCCTGTCCACAATGAGAAGGTGAGTCACGTGAAGATATTTGAAAGAAATGACTAAATGTTTAGATATTGTGTAAAATATCTACATCTCAGAATATGTTTAAGAGATTTTGTAGTGTAGAACGTCTGTTTTCATTGGATGAGTGAGGAATTCTTTCCCTTTTCTCTCAGGATGGTTTTCATAAAAAGCTTTTATTTCAGCGCATGCTTCCTCTTTTTGAACTTCCTCAAGGCTTTGAATATAACTGAATGTAGTCCTTAAACGTACTAAGTGATCAATGGACCCCTAGAAATGTAGAATAATCTTTGGAAAAAAAAACGTGTTATGGAAATATATGTACATGACAAATGATGAACGTACTCATTTTTCATATATTTTAATATATATATATATATACTGAATTAGGATGGAAAGATATTTTTACGCCTGACCTGTTGTTATTTGAATTCAATTACCTAATTAAAATAATGTTTGAAATATAAAATCTAAAATATTGCTGAAGACTTACGCTTAAATCGTTGCCATCAAACAATTTTCTTGAAACCAATCGGACCTGGTCACAATTGTCGAGAAATTGTTTCCATCTCATGTCATAATACTGGGGTGAGTCCTTTATCCACTTTAAAATAAATTTTTGGAAATCCGCATTTAAAAGTGAGCTCTCATCTAAAACGTTCCAAACTAAAACTGTAATTAAAAAAAAAAAACAGAAATATCTTTATTTAATTCAGAATACATTTTATGAATGTTATACGTTTTAAATTATGATTATTACATTTATACATTTTTAGATCATACCAAAATTTCCTCCTGGTTTCAATACTCGGACAATTTCGGAAATGTTCTCTTCATTTGCAAACCAGTGAAAACACTGAGCAGCAATTATGGCCTTGAGAAGGAAAAAATATCTCAAATAATGTTCAAAGGGGTCAATTTTCAATGAAAACCATTCCTGTTAAAGGAATAGTAAAATTAAGTTCTCCAAGATGAAAAGTCATTGTTGCAATGTTTCATTTAAAACTTATGTCCAAACAAGGGAATAATAGGTAAAAATAAAATAGCTCTTTTTGCCGTTCAGATTTAAAAAAAAGAAGTTTAAAGGACAGATCACCAGAAAAACTCATTTATTACTCTTATAATGAGCTTACTTACTTTAACAGAATTGTCAGGAAGTGGTATTTTGTTGGCACTGCACTGTCTTGTCTCTACAACAGGGATTTTTTCTTCCAATGTTTTAATGAAATCATTGGATGGTTCTGTTACTAGTACTTTCATTCCCTGAAATTAAAAAAAAAATATTATTCATGCTGCAGTCATTACTATGATCTACGTTATTTTAGTTATATATCAAATAATTTAAATTGGCAAAATATTTTTAATTAATAAGAAATTTGCTTATATATATGATATTTTGTTTTTAAGTTTGCTCTGCCATTATTTCTATTAATTTTGTTAATTTGTTTATTAAATTATTTTGAAAATATACCTGAGGACAGTGTTTCAGCAAACATTCTGTAAATTTGCCTGTTCCCGCTCCTAATTCTAAAATATCGTACTCACACTCTATTGAACGAAAAACACGTGTTGTGCTTGTTATGATAATTTTACAATAATTATATTTTTCAAAGCTATAAAATAATTACCACTCGATATGTACAGAGAGATAAAAGTAAAAAAAAAAATCTTGTGAGTATGTATTTTCAATAAATTACCTCCATCCAACAAATCCACTGAGTCCGTTGCCATTAAAATAATTTCTTTTACAACATCGTCGGTATAACCAGGACGGTACGTCTCGTAGTTCCCTCCCTTTGTGTTAAAAATAAGAGTATTTAGGTCACAATTCTAAATTATTTTATCAGTGCCTAAAACCTTATATTTCGTGTCTTAACGTTTTAATGTGTTACAGACATATTCATTACTGACAAATCTTTCGAACGATTACAAATGTAATAACGATATACTCTAAAATGATATAATTTTTCCTCTAAATATCGGATTTTGAACTGTATGGATAATGCAAATACTTACATCAACGAATCCAGCTTTTGCTAAAGGTATAACACTAATATTCCTGTCAGAGGACATCCTGTTACAGTAAAATGTTAATTGGAAAACAATAGGCTAAATACACATGTCAAGAGCGTCCGAGAACACGATTTCGTAAAATATTCATTGATCTGACTTTAAATGGGTCAGTCCAATGGCAATAAACGTTATCTTCGCATAATAATAAATAGTGGTGACTAAGCAAATTTATAGTTATGATGTAATCTTTTACATTAGAAAGATTTTGAAAATATTTCCTGTCCATGAACAGTATTGACGTATTTTTTAAAAGCGTCTTAATTAGTAGGCAGCTGGCTATGTGATACCTTCGTTTAAGACATAGAACTACATGTAAGTGTAATGTTGATAAAAGTAAAGGAGATATGTCAAAAGTAATGACCTTCTGAAATCTTGTTCAGCCTTTTTTCGTGTGACATTTTTCGTGGTGAACATTAAATTTTAAAAATGACACGATAAAATCTTATGAAAGAATAATGTAATTATCAGTCTAATCGTCTTAGATATGATTATATTATTCCTAAAACTAACAAATAGTTAAATAATTTTATGACTGTAATAGTCATCGTAACGTTTATTTTAAATCAAGGTGAATTGTAAATGTGGAAATTTTTTTATCATTCGTATCGATCAATTCTGATCACAGGTATTCGCAATTTACGAAGTTGCAATAATCAAATCGTTTTAATACCAAAACCAATCATAGATCTCAAATCTACATCAAGTACAGGGGCAGCTGATATACTTCATGTATGTAACAATGAATCAGTATGAATTGTACAGAGCTGAAATGGGGGAAAATATTTTTTGAAGCAATGATATCCATTTTTAATGTAATATACGAAGGGTTATCTTGCATAAAAAGTTCGCGTACTGACGCCATAAAATAAAAACAACTTAGCTAGTACGTCGATGATTTTTTTTTTTTTACACATTTATGGAATGAATTTAAAAGCTATACTGTATAACCTGGGTTGGGGCAGTTTACGCTTTATAAACCGCGAAGAGGTTTGTAAAAAAGCGTGAACTGTTCCAACCCTGGTTATACCAGTATAACTTGGAAAGATGTTGAATTTATTCCTTATAATTTAATTTTCCATCATTAAGTGTAGAAAAAAAAGAAAATTTACCCTTCAAAAATGCCTTCAAATTGAACATGTTTTTAATGTAACGTCATGCGAATCGATGAGTTTTTGACTGTAAGTTATTGTGACGTAGGCAGCACAGGTTAAAAGATATAAAGTATTTTTATCCAATCAAATGACGTGTTACATCCAAAATAAAATTATTCAACATCATTTTTTCTGTTTACATATTAATAAACTATCAGCTTTGAAGAATTTTTTGTAAGCATACGACGTATATTTATAAGTAATGAGTCTGACGATGAATTTAAATTTTCACGTTCATTCACTCGTGTTATGTAATACATTTGTTCTACATAATTCTTAATTCATTTTCTCGATTCTAAGAGATTTTATCATAAATGCAATAAACACTGTTAAAATAGAGTGTGTTTGTCTTTTTGCCGCAATTTAAACTTTCACTTTTAGTGGGAAAAGAAAGAATAGGTTGGAAATTTTTGAATTTTTCGAATTTGACGGAGAAAGACAAAAAATGTTCAAATTAACTGTTTTTAATTGGCATAAAAGGTCCAGAATGAGGAGAGACATATTATATGCCGAATCGCGGTGCAGGTGTACAAGGTCAATCACTTCGGAAAATAATCTTGGGTGTGATTGAACTCAGACAAGCAGACTAAGCTGCCAAAGTCAAGTGAGGTTTTTTAATTTTTGTATATATTCAATTACATCACTTTTGTTAAAATCATTGGTTCATGAAGTTTTAAAATTATATAAAGAAGAATGGTTTCAGTCAGTATTTCACTCTAAGATATCGTATAGCGAGTTTCTTTAGCGGGTGTAAAATTTGGCGTTTTGCTTGCTCAAAGGTATGCCAATAATTTTAAGAGAACTTTTTTTGGCGGACACGGAGTTCCATGACTTTGCAAAAAAGAGGAAATTTATTTTTTAGATTAGTTACAGTACTTTAAATATACGTTTGAATACCAATTTACGCAAGTACCAATACCAGTTGAAAGACATAAAGTTTAACAACAGACTGATCAAAGTTATTCAAGTTATTTTTCTCGTATTCGGTACTAATAAGCAAGAGTGCAAATTTAGCGATTAAAATTTTAGCGGTCTACTACAACACCGCAAAAATAAGCCAAAGTTAGCAACCCGCTAAAAATTCCCGCTATACGGTAGATCTTGAAGAAAGTATTCTATGGCAGAGGGAGCAGACGTTAAAAACAATGATGTTGTCAAACTGGATGGTCAAATAATATCTTTTGTATTCAGTGACACATTGACAAATTGTCATCGTATAGATAATTTGTATGAAACAGATGTGGCACTTTTCTTATTTACGTAGTTTAGTTAGCAGCTTATTCCACTATCACATGCATATAGTGTTTATATTTTTATATGTATGTCTCTTATTTTATAAGCTGCAAATCTGTAGCTGGCTGATTTGGAAAAAAAAATTGGGATGGACGACCAAAGAGCTTGAGATGGCAACTTAAATATAAGGAGATATAAATCGAGAAAACATCACACCTTTTGTGCTCAATAAATATATACTTTTTTCAATTGGTGGCAATTGGCTCTCTGGTCGTCCATCCAAATTTTTACAAACTAGCGAGCTACAGATCTGCAGCTACAATTTTATCATATTATAATACATTTTCTCAAAATTTAATGATTCTACATGCATGTAAAATATATATATACATAATTGACGAAATCTTGTTAAACTGAAATCAAATCGAAAAGAGTATGCATTCATTTGGAGCGACGAAAAAAAAAGTTTGCATTCAACAATACGCAAGTATGCTTATCTGCTTAACAATTTTGTTGTACCAATTTTACATTTTCAGCTTGCACTTTATACAAATGATTAACAACAGTCCAGGAAGGACCCAAAGCATGTAGCTGACAATGACATATTGTATTACTCATTCCAATTAAAGGTGAACTAAATGAGAATTTTTACTTGCATAGATACGGCAACATATATAGCATTATATATTTATGATAAATTAAAGTTTCTATTAACAATGATTGTGTTTCAGATAGGGCCAATTAATACAGAATGATATTATAGGGTAATGTTAATGATTTCATTTTCCTATAGTTATATATGAAATTCATATTAAATTTCATATCTACAGAGTAAGAATTACAACATTTCAGCCAAATATGTTATGTTTTGCACGATCCTGAATGACATCCTTGAAAATATACATGTACAGGAAAATGTTTTTATTTTAATATGTATACATTTATAAAACATGCATCAAAATTACCACTGCATTACAGAATGTAACACTTAATTGTTTCATCATTAAATTTATCATAACGGCTACTGGTTCAAAACAAAATCATGCAATCATATTATTAACAACACATCTAGAATATAATGTAAACCACAAAATATCATCTATAATATAAATATACAAATTGTGGTCAGGAGTTATATGTACACTTATTCCAATCTTTAATGATTATTGTTTGGTTGATACAGTTTAACATGCTTAATTATTTTATATATACATAATATATTCACAAGCATACTTCTTTTGTGAACAATAATATATATCTGTTGTACTTCAATTATTCCAGTGCATGTATTTCACACGTTCTCTAACTTACTTATCAAATTCCTAAATTTGTATTTTGAAATACTTTTCTAGTATTCAGATTTTTTATCTTACTAATGCAAAAAAAAAAAAACAAACAAAAAAAAAACAAACAAACAAACAAACAAACAAACAAACAAACAAAAACAAAACAAAACATTTTAATATTCTACAAAAAATGCAAAACAGCGCGGGTATGTTAAGGAAGCATACAAATCATTTCTCGGGAATTTTAGACTTTTTAAAGAAAATTAAGATTAACAATTCATCAAAGTCTCCGATAAAACATAAACTATTATTAACTATTACATAAAGACACGGAGTGTCCGAGGCCAAGTAGTGCACCACCTCGACGTCATCACGTGACCGCTATTAATAGCAAAATATTCCTTAATGAAAAACTTCACAGAACAACACTACCCCGGGGTTAAATAATTTCTTTGAGTAAATAACATAGTTGAAAAACATCTCTTATGCCTAAAAAGTGCTGCTAGAATCCCACTGTCCGATCAGGAAAATAATTATTCCACATATATGTACGAAACCTTACCCGATGTTTTGCATTTTATGCATATAACCCGAGATATTTCTACAAACCATGTTTACCTCACGATTCTAGCAGCACTTTCCAAGTATTATAGAACACAAGCTTTCGATATGTACAAATCTTATGTTTTTAAGTATCCAGCTTAGTGTTGTTCTTTTGCATTATTGTTGTCACGAATGACAGAGGAAAGGCCAACCGGGATACGTAAATAGCTGACTGTCTTCAATAGAAGATATAATCGATGAAAATAAATCAACATACCTGTTTAACATACTTTAACTTCACATGAATAACACACAATATTCACGGTATTTGCTTCTAAACCTCCTTTTACGTATCTTTTTACATGCCGTTTTGGCCAAATTCTCGTTACACAACATGATCGACTCTCAAGTTACTTGTTGAACAGTTATGACGTCATTGGTCGGAGATTATAATTCAAGTGACAGATACAGCATAATAAAATAAAAACATTTTATTTTTGTTAATATTTACAAATTTCAATTCATTTTCAGGAGTCAAATTATATCTCTAAATAGCAATATTCGGAAAACTTGTGTTCTAAACTTGACGTCATCTCGCCTACTATGACGTCATATTGTATCACTGATTTAGTCAAGTCAGATTATCTTAGTGCTTCCTTAACACACCTGCGAGCTTTCCTTTAACCTTAAGGTGAGTTACACTCTATGACATTAGCGCAGAAGGATCTCTTCGTAGATTTATACTATTTACAAATGATGTTTTAATAAAAATATTTTTATTTACCATCTAGAATTTTTCTGTAGGGAATACAAATCTTATACAGCCTTGTCTCTTGTTACTCATGAGTAATTGTCAGTTTAGAGTCTATGAGATATTAATTTGGATATTTGGTTCTTAAGGTGTAAGGTTCTTTTAAGTTTCCTTTTTCTAAGATAAATAACAAATGATCAAAACAAATGTAGATAAACCAAGAATTAAAAAAGTCATTATAAGCATAATGGAGTCAATTTTGCGAAGAAAAACAGCTCTGCAGAAATATTTTGCTGATGCACACTTTAGTCTATCCTTACTGTTGCTAGTAATCAATTTATTGTTGTTGTTTCCAAACTCAGCATTAGAGGGTAGGAATTCAACGGCACTTTCGGATGAAGCTGTTGGCAAAATTTTAGTTTCAGGTTCAGTGTTCAATTTGATTGTTATGAGAGAAACTGTAGTAGAAATCGCGCAAAGAAACAGATGGAACGCAACAAAAACAGTTATATAAGGAACATCCGTGGAATTTCGAGGCATTGTTTGATCAAATAAGGTCAGAAATACAGTAAATGTTAGAAATAGAGTCAAACAGTACGCCATTCTCTCGCCTGATGCTACAGGAATTAAAAATGTCAGAGAATTCATCAAAGCCAGAATAATAACAGGCATAACCGTGCTCAGTATGAAATATTGGTACCTTCTTCGGAATTCCAGTGTGTAAACAATCTGAGTTAAATCAAACTCAGAGTTATGGATTACAGTGTGAGTAAATCTTTTGAACTCCCATTCTCCGTTTTCTGTGATCTCTTCAACATCGTTCTCTGATCTTGCACGCGGAATAACCTTCTGCATCCAGTCGGTCGTCTGCCATGCTCCAACTACCATGCTACATTTTTGTTCATCAAATGGAAACTTTTTCACAAGCAGATGACATTGCACTGTATACTTAGCTCCTGGAAACCATGTCACATGACCTTGAGAAGTGATGGAAACAAAAGGATGGGCTCCAAGGTCATGGATATGTTCTTCAGAATAATACAAGGATATATCTGGTCTCCAAACTTTTTTATAAGGAACGTTGATTCTTTTGATCCCCGGTTGTTTATTGGCATCCCATGTCAGAAATTCGTCCTTCCACTGGACATTAAACCATCCATAAAATGAGATAAATTGGAATCGTTCGTCCACTTTGAGAACAGTTTTGATAACCATTGAAACGTTTACTTCCACAAGTTCGCTCTGATTTCGTCGAGGTTTTGCAAGGGTAGTGTAGTTTTTGAAAAGATGGTCTTCAAAGGATTCTGTGCAAATTCCACTGAACATTGCCTGAATTATTACAAAACCTTTTATGATATCCATTATGCCACTAAAGTTTAATTAGTTTATAATTATAATTCGACGCAATTTCTGTCAGGAAACACCTCGTTCGATGCTCTTTTCAATCCATATACATTTACTCACGGCATATAAATACCAGAAAGGAATGATAACTCTTTGTTACAAAATATGTTTTCCTGTTTGGACTTTGTTAATTAATGCAACTCAAAACGAACGGCTTTTCTAAACGTTGCCAAACGTTTCTTATATGGTTTCCTTCGAAGTTTCCATTTTTGAAGCTCACTGTGAAATGATTAATAGAATAGGCACTTTATTCTTATTGTTCCAGACATGGCTACTTTGAAATAATGGCACAGTCTTTGTGCTCTGCATACTTTTAGGCGATTTCCATGGCTAAAAGCAAGACCAATCGACAATACAGATGTTTGAAATGTTAAATTATATAGAAAACATGCATTCTTAATTGCTCAGACGGGATTGTTCACATCATCAAGATAAAATGCATAGAATACTGTGAAAGGAAAAGTCGTTAATATTCTATAGCCTGTGGGACAGTCCAATCGCTTCTACAGAATTTTACTAATGCATATTGTTCTCATTAAACTCTGATAACCTTTTACAGAATAAACAGAAACCTTTTGTTTCATTATTTGTACATGGAAATGTACCTCCCTATGGAATTTCATATCTAGAGATACGCGGTAACTTTTGTAATGTTGAAATACATGACATTTGACGACAAAACTGTGTTCATGTGAACGTCACTTTAGTTTTTTTAATTTTAAATTTCTCTCTATATTTATTGTATAAATAACTTGAGTTTAATGGTTTGAAACTTCATGAAAATTCTTAACATTCAATCCCAACAGTGTTTTTAGTAAACATGTGCACGAATTCCGTTATTGTGTCGCCTGCAGAGCAGAGCGACACTTAAGAATCACTTTACCCGGCGTCTGTCTGTCCGTCCGTCCGTCCGTCTGTCCATCTGTCACCTTAAGAACTGTATAAGGTATGGATTTAACATTTTGCACATATATTGCGTTGCACTTAAGCTTTTGCAAAATACCATTGTTATCGACCTCGTGAACTTTGAACTTGACCTACTTTTTAAAATAGCTCACTGTGTCGATATACGGTATATTTTTGACATTTAAGAGTTCAAATTCATGCTATTTAGCATGTGCACGTTTGACATAAAATATCAAGAAAATTACTAGATTTGCAATCCACTTGACCTTGACCTTTGACATACTTTGCAATAATACTCCGGACGGTTGATTCAACTTGTGTCTCTTTTGATTTTGTGAGGCAGGGTTTTGATATTGGCAATAATATTATATGTTTAAGAACTCATGACACTGTACATTGAAACTGTATGCTATACAGTTACCACACAAACTGAAATTTAAATGCTATGAAAATACATCGGGATCAGTATACCAAAATGATCGTAATGTAGAATACTGCAGTAAAGAAAGACCGAAATCTGTTTTGGAGGATAGTTGGATTAAAAACGTATTTTTCATGTTTTGAAAGGAAAAATAAATATTTCTAGTATGTAATTTCAATTCATTATTCACTCTAGCTTTGAAGTTTGGGGAATCATAATACTATTTAAATGTCAGATTTTATATGATAAATGCTATAATTCTATCGGTCTTATTATTCATAATTTTTTTCTTTGCTATTGTAAATCATCATAATCTAGCAGCAAATAAATAACAGGCCACCATGATGCTATAAAGCAGGCGACATATGTGTTCCTTGGGGCATTCTATTTTTTAAGTTGTACTGAATGCGTTCGATTTGTTAATACTGCGTACTAAACATTTGATTAGTGTGTTGGTTTTGTTTTCTTTCATTTCTACTTTGACTTTTCTTTAATATAGTTTTAATATCTTTTAACAAAACACCACACAGATTCCTCTTCTCTTAAATAGTATGGATGAATTTTAGTTTGGTTTTAGTTCAGTTTATTTTTTTTTAAATAGACAAATAAAAGAAGTTTTTAATCACACTTTATAATAATATAGGTCTGAAATGCTGTAGAAACATAAAATGATAACATGATATGGAATTTTACCGTAATTTATTGATGGATATAAACTTCAAAAACTGTGCTCAGGCCTCTTTTCTATTTGATTTCTATAAACCCATTTTTCTAACAGAATTAAAAAGGGCATAAACAAATCCACATTGCCGTATCTTTGCTTACAAATTTTATTGTCATCTCTCTCGAGAGATGACACATTAAGTTTGTTACCCGGACATGAAGCCCCAGTTTAAGCTGCCATTGATAAGCTGGTGGTCTGGCAAATGACACACATTAATCATAGAGAGTCACAGAGACAGAGTCGCTTGGATAGTGGTGGGTCTTCAAAATACATGCAGTTATCTATAATCATGGTCAGCGCGTGTGTATCAGAATGCACTAAACATGGCGTCGATTAGAGCGGCCAATGCGTGGATCAAAGTATTTACAGGAAAACAAAGTGGCGGGTCTTCAAATAACATGTGTTATCTAGGCTGTTACGTAGATGGCCAGCGCGTGTATCAAAGTACACTTTACATGGCATCGATTAGATCAGCCAAGGCGTGGATCCAAGAATTAACAGAAAAACAAAATCAAAGTAAATACTCGCATTAAAAGTTTAAATACGACTGATGTGAATTGATGTCGAAAATTTTACCTTTATGTGTATCTTAGTCATTCAATAACTTGATGCCATTAAAATATTTTTTTTTAAAACTAAGAGTAAATGTTAAAACTACAGTCATTGGAAGAAAGATTATTATCATCGTGATCGAGTTTTTACGCATGTCTACACTATTCTTTGTTTTTTGTTCTATAAAAAATAAATGTCAGATATACAATATTGTTACCTCTGTATAAAAGACGCGATTTCTTTACCCGACTCGTATTTTGAGAATTTATAATTAAAGCACCTGCAATCATTTTCTCTGTGTAATTTTAAATTGCGTTATTGGTTAATGGCAAAAAGCTATCAAATCACTTCTTTTATTCTTGAAATATTATTATTATATAAAATGATTGTTTCCTTGAACAGCCTAAATATCAGGGTTGGTAAACTGGTACTCTTTCAGATAATTTGTAAATGCATAATTTTAGCTTATACCGTTTAAATTTTATTACTGACCTATATTTAAATGCATGTGAGGGTTATTTCTTTGGATAAACCATATATTTAAAAGTGAAAAATCTTTCGAAATCAACTGAGGGCCGGTGTCATATAGTGAGACTTCTCCCATAGTGAGCTTTCCCCCAGAGGGCTTGCTATATAGTGAGATATCTCCCGGGAAGACTGGCTATATAGTGAAACTTCCCCCGGAAGATCGACTGGCAATAGAGTGAGACTTCTCCCGGGGAGGTCTCTCTATATAGACTGTCTCTCTCCCCTTTCATAGTGAGACTTCCCCTCAAATGTAGTTTCCGGGAAATTTATGTTTTCTTTGTAAAACAATATTTTTCAGTATATGAAAAAAAGTTCTCTGTTAATTAATAATTAAAACATCTTAATAGCCTTTTAACAGTTTGTTAGCCAAAAAAAATTTTGGGATGACATGTACATGTATATTGATGTGAGATAACTGAATGAAAAATGTACGTTATTGTTACAAGTATACATCTTTCTTTACTACATTGTATTTATTGCATTCTTTATGAAGGTTTACATAAGCAAATTCCAAGAGTCAACGAGTAATAATCTCTTAAATGTTAAATGTATTTCTTTTGATAAGAATCATTTTGGAATGATTAATTTACTGTGCAAGATAAATTTTTAATGCGCACTTCTATATTTATTCATATATGTATCTATTTTATAAGATCATTATCAAAATGCAAATATATATACATCGTCGATATAAATAAAATACAACTGAACATGGAAAGGGGAAGCCTCACTATGGTCGTTTAAGGGGGAAAGCTCACTATATAGTAATTCCCCCCCCCCCGGAGAGTCTTACTATATATAGCCAGATTTCCGGGGGGGGGAAGTCTCATTGGGGGGGGGGGTCTCACCATATTACACTGGACTAATTCAGTTTAGCGCTTTAAACTTCTTGGCTGTTGTCCGAGTAAGCTGCTGTGATGTAAAGTCAATAGGAACGCAAAGGTTTTACCCATCTTCTTGTATAACAATTGTTTACAAATTTTACAAATACTGCTTAGTGGTTACAGCTTTTAAACACATATACAAAAAAAAAAATATTTGAAATTACTGTTGCAAATGTTCACTGAAAGGCAGCTTGCCTCTCCTTTCCCCACATTTTTGTTGCAGCATATTCATAACCCCCCCCCCCTTTCCAATGTGTTTTTCGAGAAAGTCATAAAGTTTAAATCTTCCCTCCCCATCCACGAAATAAGAATTTCGAGTTTGAACACCCCCTTTTTTTTCCTAGTGTAAGATTATTCAGGTAAGTTGTATTTTTTTTCTGACTACCCCCCTTTTTTTGGAAACAAGTTCTTGTCCTTGTAATCGCTGAGGAAAAAATGTTACATTCCACTGTCTATTAATGAAGCCAAAGAGATGACATTTCAGGCTTTCTGGAAAGCCAAACTTGTTTTCCCTGTTAATTTCAATAATTTCCGAAGTTTGATGAATAATTGCACTTATTACAAACAACTGTTTGTAAACATAAGCTCGAGCTCTGAATTATTGTTTGTGTTTATGTTTTATCGGTTGTGTCCAATTTGCTACGTACTTTTATAAAAAGAATTAAGTTCTTTAAAAAAGTTCAAGGATGTATAAAAATTAAACATGCCCGAAGTTTGCTCTTCTGAAAAAGAAGGTTCTGTTTACAATTTTTGCAATATATTGTTGGAAACGAAAAGCTGAAAGTCACTAAATTCTACCAAAAATTTTGAAAGATAGAAACATCGTCTAATTCATATCCATTTAAAGTCCTGAATTTTGTTGAATAACTCTTGCAATATCTTAAGATGGAGCTCCTCATAGTACTGATCAAGGGATAAATAAATAAACCATTGTCATGATAAAACATATCATATACATACATTTTTTTGAGTGCTGGATACAGACATGACGTTAACTAAGAACTTTGAAAGTGAGGAAGGATATTAACACCCCTGCGATTGTTAATGAAATTTAATTTCAAGACACCTGGTCTCT